ATAAAAAAATTAGTGTTAAATTATTTTTAAGTTATTGTTAGATTATGTTATGTAAGTTAAGTTTTAGTATTATTTCCCTTCTCCCTGTCCTCCGCCACCAGTTTACACCTCCACTGTTGTCTATGCTCAAAGGTAAAGTGAAAATAAAATTACTTTTTTTTTTATCAATTATTATTCTATTATGGTTATTTATATATTTACAACTACAAAATGTTTTCAGTATTTTCCTTACTATAGTTATTTTTTTAATGTACAACTTAGCTTTAATTTGAGAGTTTTTTTCGTGTTGGAATGAATTATTTGGTTTTACATGTAATCATATGGGGAAAAATGATTCACCTTACGACATTTTCATGATACGATCTGAGTTTCAGAACGGATTAATTTCATATCCTGAGGTACCACTGTATTTTACAATTACAATGTCATGTATAAATCATTTATATTTACATAGTAAATTAATAAAATTATTAAATATCTCATATTTATTTATTGATGAGACTATGTCTCCTCTGTAAAATCGTGCTGCTGCCAACTGCTGCACACCTTAGAGGTATGAAAGAGTACATGTCAGGAGTTGAAATCTGGAACAGAATATTTGGTGCCCAAATCATGTGCACATAAAATAAACCAGATTTGTAGATAGTCAGGGGACCAAGAACAGGATCAAAAGAAAATACAAAATGCTGAGACTGTTTCTACAAACAGGCTCGAGTGCAAGATTTGCACACGTGTTGCTCGTGCTCTGAGACAAAGTCTCGTCTAAAAAATGGCTTTGCCATTTTACTTGTTCCATTTGCAATTGAAATGCTAGTCAAAGTAGTAATAAAAATTTTATACAGTCATATCCTCAATGATGTGAAATGTGCAATAAGGTGAATTATTTTCAAGAACCTTTGCCATTTGCTGTACATTTAATATTAAAAATATTTAATATGGTGAATATTTGTTAAGGTAAAAATTTTAATAAGGTGAACTGTTCTTGTAAGACAAACAAGTAATAAGATGCTTTGATAAAGTGAACTAAATTTGACTTAGATAGTTTTAGAAAATTTTGAAATTCACTAGATGATGCTCTTTGTGTTTCTTTCAGAAAATATTCTCTGGAAGGTATTTATCTGAGGGAGTGTTACAAATACATTTATATACATACATACACACATACATACATATATACAGGGATCATACAGAGGCANATTTATAAATTAATACTTAATTAAAACTGGCAGATCATATGATATTAAAAATGTATATTACATACAAAAACATATTTTAAAATAATATTTTTTAAATCGAAATCATATTTATTAATTGAAAACAATGTAATAAATTACAAGTGAAAATTAGTATTAGTACCTAATTTGTTCTTCATTTTCAACAATATGCCGAATGCGTATTTTTGGAGGTGCTGGACGAGCACTAGATGGTCTTGCAGATCTTGGAGCTGCCGAAATAGGTCTGCTAAAATATATGAAATTATTATATATAAAATATACATTTAAAATATTTTTAAAAACCTTATTTTAATTTACTAAAAATAAAATTATTTATATTTTATTGATAATATTAATTATATATTTTATTAAAAGAATTATTAATACATGACATATTAATAAAAATACTTCAGATTTTCAAAACATTAGAATTCTTCTATTTAATTATAATAATAATAATTTAAATCAGTGATTTCCAACCTGGCTTCCAGATTCACTTCCCAGGAGCTCTGTGGCCACTTGAGGAAAATACAGAATTCCTACTCAAATTTTGTTTTGAATTCCATGACTTTCCCTAACCAACTTTGTCCAAATTCCCTAACTCTCACATTTCTTACAGTATGGAATATCAACATAATAAAACAGCATTTTACTTACTGTAAACATTAAGTACATCTATCCATCTTTTTGCACAATTGATATGTTCCAAAAACTGTGCCAAAATGTACAGTACAGACATCCTGCAGAAAAATGTTTGATAGGATCCACAACTTCAATGTAATAAAAAAAAATAAGCAATTTACAAACAAAACATGAGCTGTTTTATTTAATCATCATTTATCATTATTATTTTTATGTAAATCTAGTAAACACAAGGTAGCATAAAAATTAACAAATAGTATTGTCTGATATACAAATAGTAGTGTACTGTACTTAAAAAAGATGAACTCTTGAATTAGAAACATGTAATTTTAAAACCAATCTTTCAATAAAAAGAATAACTTTTTTAAAACAGCAATGTAATTTTAACAAAAAGTTAAATTTAAAAATTTTCAAATAAAGTGCTTTCTCCTATGTAAAAAAATTGATCAGGCTACCTAGTTGATACTCAAAAACTATAACATACTACAGTATTACTATAAGTTTGATCAATGTTGCCAGTTTTTAAGCCCTAAATTCCCCAAAATCAGTGATATTTATTACCAACTTTATTTCTATTAAACTAATTATTAAACTATGTATCAAAGTGTAGGGAATTAACATGAGAGAGAGCGAGAGAAATGTGCTTGCAGTACAGTACTTTCAAAGAAAATCATAACAATAGATGTAAAATGCTCACGCCAACTTGTGGTTGGAATAAGCTAAAAAATAAAAAAATGTTTATATGTTTATGTAATGTCTGGAACACAAAGTTAATAAATGGTGGTTCCTTTTTTTGGGAAGGTCTTCAAAACAATTAATTATTTTTTGATTGTTAAAATATTTCGGAAAAATTTAATCAATGTTACATCATCAAGAGTATTGCAGATTTTCCTCTCAAATTCACAATAAAGTGTTTTTAAAATCTCAAAATGTTTAAAATTTAAAAATGCTGATTGATCTGGTGGTATATTATATTAGGGACTGTTTGATCCCCAGAGTTTGGCAATGCTCTCTTCAGTGTTGCATTTTATAATAATTCTTCAGGGTATAATGCAGGGTAAAACTTACCTGCAACTGTCAGTAAAAGTAAATGTTTGTATTAACTGTCAAAACGTTAAGACAAAATTTTTAAAAAATTAAACAATTTGATGTGATTTAAAGTACTGATTTTGAGTGATTTTAAAATTTATTCTTACAATACAATAGAACAAGTAAGACTTATCACATGCATAAAATTAAAATTAATTCATTATATGCCATTGTGCAAGGTTCAGTACTATGCACCTCAAAAAAATTTTCTGTGTTTTTGGTACATGCTTCTGATAATATCAGATAAGGAAAGTAGTTAAGCACATAAAGAAGACAGAAATTTTTGTACATGTAGATTTTTGTATGGCAGATTTGTACATCTAGTGTTGTCCTCTAATACTAAAAATGTTTCGATAGAAAAATGGATTCTGGTATATTCGTAATAAAGATTGCAGAATTACTTCTTGCCGCCTGCAGATGGCTACACTTGGTCAACCATATTCAGCAAATGAAATCAACAAGGCAGCTAAGCAGACAAATTTCCTGACTTCCCAGACTTTTTCTGAACACTAATGAAAATTTCCAGGTGTGTAGGAATGCTGAAAATAAAATAAATAACAATTGAAATTAAAGAATAAAAAACAATTTGCCAAGTTGAATTTCATATTGCTGCCTTTCTCAATTACATATTTCTGTGAAGCAGGATATGTAGTTGACATTCTCTGCCTATACAGGTACCAAAACAAAATACAGAAACTGCTTAAATGCAGAACCAGACATTTGCTGCAATTATCATCAATTGAATCTAAAATAAGAAAACTGTGCAAAAAATGTAACCACAGGTGTTTCATTAAATGTTTATACATGATTTTATGTTGTCTTAATTTAGGTCTACTCCTAGGCTCCCAGTGTAACACTACTCCTAAACACCATTAACTTGTAAGATATAGGGTGGGCCTAAGGGGTTCTGCTATAGAAATTGATTCTAAAAAAGCTCCACAAGTCAAAAAAAGTTGGAAACCACTGATTTAATTATTAATTTAAAATTTTACAATTAAATATATTTTAATGAAGCATTTGTAAATAAAATTTGTATCAACTGTGCAGATCCATAATCTAACACAGCTCTTAAATAAACTTGACTATTCTTACATATATATATATATATATAGTTGTTGATAATGTATAAAACCAAAACATTATATTCAAATAAGTTATTTTTACATAAATAATAATAATTAATAAAACAAAAAGTACATTCATAATAATGTATCATAATAAAACAAAGTGAATTCATAAAATATTTGTTTAATGTTGAAACTTTAAAAAAATGATCACTTTGATTGATACATTGTGCCATCTTCTTTCTGGTTTTATACTGAGTCTGATGAAAGATTAAATAGTTATTGTTATTCAATACATGAATGAAAAATTTCTTGCATTTGTAAATTTATTTTGATTCTTTTTAAATTAATATTTTGTCAAAATATATTTTTATGCCTCCTATAAAAAATGAAGATTTTACAATAAATTATTTACATTTAAATTTTAAAAATTAAATGCATATGTTCCACAATAATAATGAAAATAATGGATTAAATATCAAAGCAATTTAATAAATTGTCTTATTTTTATATTATAACAATTCAAAAATAAATCTAACCTAGATGAAGATGACGATGATGATGATGCAACAGGTTGTTCATTTGTATCATTCTGTTGAGGTAATCTTTCTGACGATGAACTAGATGGTTCTATAATTTCAAAATTTAATTTTAAAAAATCTATAAAAATTCTCAAAATTATTCTCTAACTTATTACATCCTATTCTAAATTTACAAATATTTTATAACCATCTTTATGAGTTTTATTCTCATGTTGCATATAACAAAATATTATTTTAATGACTGTAATTACTGCACTGCATAAAATGACTTTTATTATGCAGTGTCATTAAAATAATAAAATTACCAAATATTAATAATAAGAACCACAAATTTTAGCAGTCAAAGTAGATGAAATAAATCAATTTCTTTACATTAATACAAAATACACTACTTAATTTTTAAATATATGGGCAAAGTTTAATTTTTAAAAAATATTTATGACTGATGTTTACACATTAAATCTTTTAATTCATTTCTGTTATTGCATAATAAATATCAGTATATTAAAGACAGTTATTGTATGTCAGCAAATAACTTAAAATTTACTTTATATAACTGAGATTAAATATTTTTACAATATAATCAATATAAAATTAAAAACAATTAATGATTCCAAAATAAATATTGTTTTAACTTTCATTTGCAATAATAATAATAATAAACAAAAAAATTTAAATGTTTCAAAAAGTTATTTGAAATTATTTAAATTACTATTAAAAATGTTTTATTGTTATAAGTAAATATTAAATGAGATTTTTTAACAATACAGTAACACCCTGCTTAACGAGGAAAATGNTAATTTTTTAAAATATCCTTTTTTCTTGATAAAGTTTTAATACTTATTATTATAATCTAGACATGTTAATTTTTAGATATACTTGTATATTGGGCCACAAGTATATATTATATATACTTGTGGCCCAAAACTCCTTGACTTCTTCCAGTGCAGCCCAGAGAAACAAAAAGGTTGGACACCCCTGACATAGAGTAAATAGGAAAAGGGGAACACGTGTCCAAAAATAAACAGATTTTACTATAATTTTAAGTTATTTTTATATTAATTTGTATAATAATATATGTTAAATAACACACAAGCATATGCACACAGAAATGTAAAGTTCATTTTTTGTGACAAAGGTCCTGACTTTTCTGAAATTCTTGCTTTTTTGCAATAAAGTCGTGAAGTTTCATTTGTTGCTTTTTCTTTCCTTAAGCAAATGTCATTAGCAGAAGATCGCATCCAAAATGCCTTGTTTTGCTTTTGCACTCCTTTCAAAATCTGGATCATTTGCTACAATTTGATCAATAATTTCAGTTATCGTTACCAAACTTTTACTAAGGAAATCTGTAAAGAAATTTTTTTGGGTTCTTCATTTTCAGAATCTTTATTTTCCAGTTCTACATTAATTCCTTGTTCCGCCAGTTCTTGAAGGTCGTCATTGGTAAGGCTCTCACCAGAAACCTGCTGTAACTCCTCAATATCCTGCTTGTCTACATCTAATCTTGCTGTATCAATTAGGTTGAGTTTGGTCAACCTAACAATACAGTGATAGACTCTTCTTGTTGAGAATTCTTGGATACCTTCAGCCATAACTTCTTCTACACTACGTTCATGCATTGATCAGTTAATTCTTGCCAAGCAAAGCCGATATTGCCTATGGCATCCATGATGTTATATTTTTTCAAAAATTGCACCTAGCAAACATAGATTTAAAGAAAGTACATCTTTTTGCCACCTTTTTCTGATTGGTTCATGTTCGTAAATAATTGTATCATATATGAATCAATGAAATGCCGTGATAATTTAAATCAACATAAATTTTGAGCTTTTTTTTTTAGGCTTCAAGCAGACCATGTTATATCGAATCAGTATTAAGCAAGGCAGCATTAAGTGGGGTCTTACTGTATATTGATATCTTTGGATATAGGTAATGTATAAACTATATACAATATAAAAGCAGATATAAAACTTTAATGTAAAAGTAAACAAAATAAATTCACAGTTATAAAGTAAAAATAAATGAATTTAATAATTATTGCAAATAACCAGTTGGTAGACATATGAGGCTCACCAAACTGCAATGGAGCCAAATAATCAAAAGTACATCAAGAAAATAAGACTTATTTCTGGAATGCATTTTGGTCTTCACTAGACCTTCCTCAGCTACAATTATATAAATAGATACCTACAACAATTGTAAAAAACTTATATTGTATTTAACATTTACCTTAATATATATATATAATTTTACAAGAGGAAAAAACAAACCTGCAATATTTAACAAAATAGTTACAGGTCACATAGGTATACTGTAACTGTTTGTATTTCCATCTGATTATAATTTTATAATTTCTACTTGCAGTTCAAATATAGTAGAGCGTCGTTTATCCGAAAGCATTCCAATCAGCAAATTTAAATTTTCGCTAGTGCTGTGGCACTGCAATCTTTGGCTATATCTTGAGCTACTCCAATATTTTTTTTGTTGGTGTGTGTTTTAGCTGGCAGCACTGGCACTTTTGTGTGGTGTTTTTCTGAAGACTGTGTGTCATGCTGAATCGAATGTTTTTGATACTAAATCAACTTCTAAAGTATATTTTTTTGGTTTTTATATTTTTCAATATATTTATTTTGTTTGTACAAAATAAAAAAATAATTTTTAATGCTACAATAGCCACGATTACTATTTTAAAAAGTTTTCATTAGGCTTAACATCAACGAAAATTCAACGCAAAGCCACATGCAACGAAGAAAAATTTCAACATGGGTTATTTTTCGTACATAATCGGTTATCAGAAAAATAAGTTATCCAAACAACCCCAGTCCCCAATTGATTCGGATAAACGACGCTCTACTGTAGACAATTCCTCATGTGACACTGTGTTAACTGGGTCTGTAGTATTGGTTAATAGCAATTCCCCTTGATTGGTCACTAGGATTCACTCACTTTCCTTCCCAAATTGTCATTAATTCTATAATTTTCATTAACATTCATAAATTTAAAATGTTCATATTACTGAAAACTGAAATGCATTTCACAGATAACGGCTTATTTTCTTGATGTGATCTAGATTATTTGACTCCATTGCAGTTTGATAAGCCTCATATCTCTACCAACTGGTTATTTCAGATAATTATTAAATTAATTTCTTAGAGACAAGAAGCTTATAACTATAAAAATAAATGTGTTAATGCATGATTTAAATACAGTTATATTTATTGAATTTCAGAACATGGTTTCATAAAGGATTTATGAATGATTATATAATTCATAACTTACCTGGCTGTGGCACCATTTTTCTTGCCGATGTCATTCTTACTGTTGTACTTGGTCTAGTTACAGAATTAGGAGGAGTAATTACTTCTGATGCATTCTCAGAATTCTAAAATAATAAACTTTTCAATTAAAATGCTTTATTTTTAATCAAATTGAACTACAGAAAAGTTATCTGAGTTCTAAAAACAGGAACCAGATTTACATCCTTCATCCCAACTAGATATCTAGATCTATATAATTTCATATCCAAATTTATGATCAATATCTGAACATCTGAAAATTTTTTCAAAACTAAGTTTTAGAACACCTTGAGAATTACCGTATATCTGCACAGATAAGACGATAGTTGAATCATAAAAAAAGACCCCCAAAATCTGGGGTCGTCTTATAGGACAGATACAAAAAAATAAGATAAAATTTATATAAATTAAAACCATTATAAAAAACCGACAAACCATAATTATTTACTAGTAGAGAGTATAGTATGTCCATAAAATAGAACAGCCTATACGATGCTTTTGTGAATAGTCAAGGTCATTACCCGAATGCCCGAATCAGTGTGAATGTTTGCAACAATCACAAGGCAGTACTGCCAGGTGCAAGAAAATAAAATTTGTTCATTTGAAAAATTACAAATAGGACATAATTTCATATATGCTATACAATATTATAATCCAGATGATGATTGCTGATCTAGACTAAATTCATAGGCCATTGATAGTTTGGGAATCATCTTATAGGACAGATATATGCTAAAACCATAAAACTTTGAAGAAAACTTATACCTCATCTTATCTGCACAGATATATGGTATCTGAATTGTTATTAACTGAATAACTGAATTTTTTATTTTTTTTATTTTTAGAATGGCTAGAACAAGATATTTGAATAGCTTAGAACATATGGAAGCTCAGAAGAACTATAATTCTTATTATTTCACCTGAAGAGAGCCTCTGAACAAAGCCAAAAACATTTGTGATTGAATACTCAATGTGCTAGAAGTTGTATGGTAAGCATAAACTAGTTAGTGTATAAACTTCCAACTTCTGGGATGTTTCTATAATTCAAAACAAAACCTCCAGATAAGTAGTTAATACAAAGCCTAAAGGAAAGAAAGACAGTCAGTCCTCAGTAATCTTCCATGGTTCTCAACAGTTCCTTGCTCATCATGGTTTTTGCCAGTTCCTGTTTAACCTCCTCAAATCTCTTAAGTCTCTCAAATCCCCATCACTTCATATCTGTATAGATCATCCAATCCTTCGGATATTGTGAATTTAAGAATTCAGCCAGATCCATCAAGTCTCAAATTTCTCTCTCTAACATCCATATTCACAAACACGAGTTAAAGTTAGGGTTAATTCTTGAGTTATTGGCGAATACCAATTTACCAGTAACTCGAGAGTTAACCCTAACTCTAACTCATGTTGGTAAATATGGGGGGAAAATTAATGTAATTGTGTAAATAAAATAAATTGAATTGCCAAGTAGACAATATAATCAGTCAAATTAAATATTTGCTATTAAAAAAGAATAAAAAGTAAGGCGAGCTCCTGTCTCCTCCCATCTCTAACAACCATGCACTTCTCATAAAATATAAAAGCTCCCATTATAAATGGCTAAATTAGTCAATTTTTCAGAAAACTGACTAATTTAGCCATTTATAATGTCAGTTATAATGTCATTTATAATCAGTCATCCTGACATAGTAAATAAGCTAACTCCACTTAATTAATATATTACAACCCATAATTACTATTGTTTCATTTGTATTATTTTTTAATATTTTCAAATGATGAGTTTATTCTTAGATTTTTATTTATACAATAATATGTCTATAAATCTAATAACAAGTATTAATACTGATACTACAAGATTACAAAATAAATTACATAGTTCTTAAATTCACAATGAAGAAAATAATAAATAGCAAATGAATAATTTGAATTTTAGGAGGAATGGAAAGGAAATAATGCACAATGGCACTTAAGTTCTATATACAAATGTTCAAAGCTTCAGAACCAAAATGAGGACTTTTGCTTGTAATATTTTGTTGGATCAATATGACAATGTATGTTTAACAGAAACTTTGTTATATGGTTTAATTTCTTCTAATGAATATTTTCTGGATAGGATGGATACAGATGATCAATTAGGAAGCAGTGTTCTTACCAATAACAGAAATTACAGAAGTTGAATTTTAGACACAACATAATTTTAAAGAAAGTTGTGGATTAGAATTACTCTACCCAGTAAAGCAATATTAATTGGTAGTCATTATTTTCCTCCTGATACTTCCTGTGAAACTTTTAATCAATATCTCGAGGATTTAAATACTTTCTTAGAAAACAGAAATGAAATAGTTGTTCTAGTGGATGATTTTTAATCTCAATAATTGTGATTTTATTATCAGTTGAGATCTGAAAGTGGGTAAAGCTTCAAGTTTTAGAGAATTTTTAATTTTACAGGGATTAAGTCTATATCATTTTTTCAAAAATTTTTATGAAATCTGTTTAGATTTAATTTGCTCAAATTAAACTGGTTTTGTTGAGCAGTGTCATAATCCCTTGGTTCCAATGGATATATATCATTCAGCCTTTATAGCTAAATTGTTGGTTCAAGTAGATAATAGTCAGATTATCTCATCGCATTTTGCTGTTTATAATTATAAAAAGCAGATTAGTCTAAACTTTATACTCAACTTTCACAGGAACAGGGGAAATAGATGTATTTAAGTATATCAGCTGAGGACATACTTAATTTTCATAATGTTTTATATACAGTCATTTGGATAAGACAGTGGAAAAAGTAAAATCATTTGTAGGTAGGTTTCCTGCATGATTTATTTGGACAGCATAAACATAATACAAAAGTAAGTTGCTTTTCAAAAAACTATATAAATGGTCAAAGTGTGACTACTTTAGTATCAATTTAGAAAGTATAGGAGTTTACCTAAAGAACAAATTAACTTTGATTATGAAAAGTACTAAATTTCTGGAATATAATTAATTGAAAATGAATCCTAATTCCTTTTGAAGATATTTTAAGGTATTGAAATCTAGTAATAGTGAAAATATCTTCTATAATTCTGATAAAAAACTTATACCAAACCAAAACAAATTAGTAATTTGTTTGCTAAGAGTTTGGAACAACATTTTGAGACAGATAAAAATAGTCCAAAGATGAAATCAATCCAAACTGATCTCAAAGATTATCTTGGGGGGAAAACATATAGCATTACAATTGCAATTTAACAGTTAAAATTAAGATGTGCAATGGACCCAGACCTTGTTCCCTCTTTTGTTTTAGATGGATGTCAAAATTTTTTAGTAAAGCCACTGGTTTACATATTTGAATTAAGCTTTTATACTGCTGAAATTCCTAGTCTTATGAAATAATCTTTTATTGTACTAATATATACAATGGGTGATTGAACGAAACCAGAGAATTATCAACCTATCATATTAGACATCTGTTTCAGTGTGGTGTTAGCGAGCTGCTGCACCTATCTACTACTGCTTTCATCTATCCTTTTGAATAATTAGTACTCCTCTTCTCCAGCCTAGTGCTGTATGGCTCCCTTACTGTAGCCTTCAGCTAGTATAATTATATTTTATATTTGTTTATATTATTTATGTTTAAAAACAACTGTACTATCTTGTGTTTTCTTTTGTATTTCTTGTCTTTGCATGTGTTATTGAATGTTTGGGTAGTGGTGTCAGTCATTATATGTTACTTTTAGTATAGTATATATCTTTCACGTATATAGGTTTAAATTTAGCTCTCTACTTATATTATGATTAGTATAATAAGCTATATGTAAACGGAATGCTCAGAGTATTAATGATACTTCAAACAATTTCATTTCAAACTATAACTTGCTCTTTCCTGAAATTCTTCTATTTCACTATCTCTTCTCAGTATATATCAAGCTGTTGCCCCAAAGACTACCAAATGGGTAGCTCTCCTAAACATTGTAAAGTCATATTTGACAATCAAAATTACAGTAAGAATATATCGAAGGTGTCTCTTCAGTAGTATCTTTTTCAATTCCACTGATGAAGAGTAACCTAAAAGTTAGGTCAGGTTAACTAACAATAACTAACAATCTAAACTTTCCTATCATCTTTACCTATAACCCTTTAAATGGAATGCACTAGCATTCTATAAAATCACCAATCAAAAACTCAGAAAAATATAAGTAAGTATAAATCCTTTCACCATAAATACAACACAAATATAACAGAACCATAAAATTATAAACCAAAATGGTATAGATTAACTACATGAGCCCACTCTGGGACAAGTTTACACTCTTCTATATACACTCTTGTAACTCTCTTAGTGCTCTTCGAGCAGAAAGAGTGCATGTTATTAACTACCAATTTTTAAAAACACAAAAAAAACCTACCATACTGATTTCTGCAGTTGTAAAAGTTATGGAAAATTTAGTTTATAATTTTTTTAATGTCAGTTGTAAAAACAAAACTCTCCCAGTGTCAATATGATTTCATTCCAAAAACAACTGTAACAACATACTTATTGGAATTGTCAAATTATATAGGAACTGCATTTAATAATAAAAATCAGCTTTATGTAGTATATTTAAACCTATCAAAGACTTTTGATACAGCCCATTATGGTCAATTGTAACAGAATCTAAGAAATCTTGAACTAGGTGATCATATAATAGCATGGTTTTCATCATATTTACAGGATCATATTGTGGAAGTAAAATAGCAGAATCATCTTTCAGAAACACTCTACCTTTGCCGAGAAGTTCCATAATGTTCTCAATTAGGTTCACTTTTGTTTATCGTATGTATCAATGCTCTTCTCATGGTTGTTAATCAGATATCTATCTCAAGTTATGCAGGTGACTTAAAGCTCTATAAAAAGATTACATCATTCAGGATGTAGAAATATTGCAGAGAGTTCTTGATAGCATAAATGATTGGCTGAAACTTCATTACTTGAGTGTGAATTATGTGTAATGTTAAGACATTGTCAAGTTTTTCCCAGATTTTTTTAGTTTTACTGCAGTCCCAAATTTTTTACAGTTTATTATATACAGGGATATGAGATATCCAGAGATGAAAACTTCAGAAACCTGGTGGTATATTATAATAATGGATTTCTTCTTATAATACAAGTGGAAAAGATAACTTCAGCTGCTATTAGAACTTTGGGAATAAATTTTAGGATTTTCAAGACACCATCTGGAAATAAGTGTACTAAAAACTTTGTATTCAGCTCTTGTTTGCTCACGGATTTTATTTGCGACAGTGATCTGGAATATACAGCTGATATCAATTGAACACTAGATTAGAAACAGTTAATTAATTGTATTAGAGGTTATTGTGGAAGGAAATTTATGTTAAGTCAAGAAGAGGCTGTAATGCATTTTACACCTTTAATAACACCCTTCAATATTCAATGTATACGGTTTTTAAGATCTCTGTTACACTCTGAAATTGAAGCTCCTGCTTTGTTAAAACAATTATAACTGCAAGTACCTGTATCTACTAGGAACTATTTTAGATTTAAAATTTCTTTTGATAAATCTAATATTGCTCAAAATGTATCTATTCATAAATCAGCAGTACTCTATAATCACTTGGGATGGCAATTGAATTTATTTAGTCCTAAATGACAGTTTTGGCAATTATTATTCAAATCATTTAATATTGAACGTAAAAATTAATGCGAAAATTCTGCTTTACAGTTTTCAATTTTTATGTTTTATATTTTATTTTAATAGATCTCCCCAATATTATGTGGAGAAGTGATGTTTAAAGTTTTAATTTTTATTATATTATATTCATTTGTATTGTAATAAAAACACCTATAATTTGAGCTTCCTGTGGGTTTATTTAGTAAATAAATCACAGGAAGCTCAATTATTTTTATTTGTTTATCATAAAAGCAAAATTTAATTAAAAACAATTATTTTCAAATTTATTTGAAATTTTTAAAATTAAATCATAAAAAACTTACTTGTATATTTAAATTAGTTTCTTCTGTCTTATTTGCATCACCTTTATCAATGGAAGATTTACTTGGAGATTCCATTTTCATATCACCATTTACAAGAATCTGAGAATTTTCATCTGTTTGTGGCAATTGTTCATCATTTATACTTTCTTCACTTGACAGTTTAGATTTTGTTGGACTAGATACTGCCATTTCTTCAATTTTAGGTTCTTGTGTTTTGTTTTTAGACCTTTCCTTTGATGCTTCTCTTTCCTTTGTCTTATTTCTGTCACGATTTCTTTGATCACCAATTCCATTTCTAACTGAACTTTTAGTCTTTGAATCATTGACTTTTGATCTAGATTTATTGTCTCTATTGACTGGCTATATAAATAAATTTATATAATATAATGAAATGAAATTACTTTGATCATCAGAAAAAAGTTAAATGGAATGAACAAAAAATGAAAAATTAATTCAAAAATTAGTAAATTATCTTTAGATTACATTTATAGATAAATACATATATACAAGTAACTCCCGTATAACACGAGAGTTACGTTCCAAAAAATTTCTGTGTTATGCAAATCTGTGTTATACAAAACAAAGAGCTAGTGCGAAAAGGGGGGTTAGGTTCCAAAAATTAAAAAATATGCTGTTAAATCCTTATTTAAATCGGATTTATTATTCATTTTTTTCATAGGTAGAATACTTATTTATTATTTAAGTAAATATTTTACCAGAGAATTATTCATCCTATATGATGATCTCAGCATGAGCATCATCAACTGATAACAGTTTTTGGGTGCGTTCGTTAATAGCGGTCACTCTGCAATGGGAGTGTGTTGTTGTTTGTAGGCATTTAGGAACAATGGTGAAAGAAAGATGACGGCACCCACACTATCGATAGTATTGTAATGGAGGTATCTATAATTCTAAAATGAGCTTTTAGAGGCAAAAGAAGGGTCTCAATTGTAAAATTTAACCATTAAATGGATTATTTGTTGAAAGAGCATTCAAAGCAGCCACGAAAACAATTAAAATGCTTGTGCAGAGTTATGCAGAGGTATAAAAGAATGCACCCTTTATTACATTTCATGTTGTACGAGGGTTTTACCCAATTTCCGAACTGTGTTAGAGTGAATCCGTGCTATAGAAGTGCTATTTTTAATCTTCATTCCACTTGAAATGAAGATTAAAAAAATTGTTGATAACATAATTTTATGGATATTATCTTTTGTTCGGACTATTGAGAAACCTTTGAGAAATGCTTATCGATTCGAAGGAGTCGTGCTGAAACACAACCATTTATGGCTTTTTATTCAAGAAATTAACATAACTGGAAAGATTTTGTTTCCTGTTAGTTATTGTTTTTACATCTACTTCACTTGCTTNAAAATTCTGCTTTACAGTTTTCAATTTTTATGTTTTATATTTTATTTTAATAGATCTCCCCAATATTATGTGGAGAAGTGATGTTTAAAGTTTTAATTTTTATTATATTATATTCATTTGTATTGTAATAAAAACACCTATAATTTGAGCTTCCTGTGGGTTTATTTAGTAAATAAATCACAGGAAGCTCAATTATTTTTATTTGTTTATCATAAAAGCAAAATTTAATTAAAAACAATTATTTTCAAATTTATTTGAAATTTTTAAAATTAAATCATAAAAAACTTACTTGTATATTTAAATTAGTTTCTTCTGTCTTATTTGCATCACCTTTATCAATGGAAGATTTACTTGGAGATTCCATTTTCATATCACCATTTACAAGAATCTGAGAATTTTCATCTGTTTGTGGCAATTGTTCATCATTTATACTTTCTTCACTTGACAGTTTAGATTTTGTTGGACTAGATACTGCCATTTCTTCAATTTTAGGTTCTTGTGTTTTGTTTTTAGACCTTTCCTTTGATGCTTCTCTTTCCTTTGTCTTATTTCTGTCACGATTTCTTTGATCACCAATTCCATTTCTAACTGAACTTTTAGTCTTTGAATCATTGACTTTTGATCTAGATTTATTGTCTCTATTGACTGGCTATATAAATAAATTTATATAATATAATGAAATGAAATTACTTTGATCATCAGAAAAAAGTTAAATGGAATGAACAAAAAATGAAAAATTAATTCAAAAATTAGTAAATTATCTTTAGATTACATTTATAGATAAATACATATATACAAGTAACTCCCGTATAACACGAGAGTTACGTTCCAAAAAATTTCTGTGTTATGCAAATCTGTGTTATACAAAACAAAGAGCTAGTGCGAAAAGGGGGGTTAGGTTCCAAAAATTAAAAAATATGCTGTTAAATCCTTATTTAAATCGGATTTATTATTCATTTTTTTCATAGGTAGAATACTTATTTATTATTTAAGTAAATATTTTACCAGAGAATTATTCATCCTATATGATGATCTCAGCATGAGCATCATCAACTGATAACAGTTTTTGGGTGCGTTCGTTAATAGCGGTCACTCTGCAATGGGAGTGTGTTGTTGTTTGTAGGCATTTAGGAACAATGGTGAAAGAAAGATGACGGCACCCACACTATCGATAGTATTGTAATGGAGGTATCTATAATTCTAAAATGAGCTTTTAGAGGCAAAAGAAGGGTCTCAATTGTAAAATTTAACCATTAAATGGATTATTTGTTGAAAGAGCATTCAAAGCAGCCACGAAAACAATTAAAATGCTTGTGCAGAGTTATGCAGAGGTATAAAAGAATGCACCCTTTATTACATTTCATGTTGTACGAGGGTTTTACCCAATTTCCGAACTGTGTTAGAGTGAATCCGTGCTATAGAAGTGCTATTTTTAATCTTCATTCCACTTGAAATGAAGATTAAAAAAATTGTTGATAACATAATTTTATGGATATTATCTTTTGTTCGGACTATTGAGAAACCTTTGAGAAATGCTTATCGATTCGAAGGAGTCGTGCTGAAACACAACCATTTATGGCTTTTTATTCAAGAAATTAACATAACTGGAAAGATTTTGTTTCCTGTTAGTTATTGTTTTTACATCTACTTCACTTGCTTTTCTATCTTTGTTTCCGTAAAGCTTGAATCATCAGTCAGTTCTAAAAGTTTCTGGATGATAAATAGTATTATATTATTGTTTATAGGCATTTTGGTATCTTATGGACTATCTAGAATTAGTGCTTCTGTTCGTAAATATTGATTATTTTTTATTGAATATTCTTAAGCAGTTTTATTAATTTTCTTTCTGTTTCAGATTTATAGTAATTACTGCGATTGTAACGTTCTCTCTAATGTAAAGTTTTCTCTCATATACAAATTGAAGGTAACTCTATTTTACTTCTTATTGTATTTAATTGATTCTGTGTTCATGTGTTAATTTTTATTCTAGATCTTGAACTTCATGAAGAGATTTGGAAGATATCCAATAGGTTTAAACATGGGAGGATTCTTTTACATCAAAAAGACATTCTCTATAAGAGTAAGATTTTATTAGTGTTCAGATAAATTATTAAATGGTTAACTGCTAGATATCTCCATTAAATCTATATTCTTTCAAATTACCAAAAGTACTGCCAATCGTACTTATGGTTCTAGGTTGCACTCTATAGAAGACTAATCACTAGCGCATGTTGTGTGTACAGCACTGAATAATGATTTAATTTAAACAAAATACAGGAAGGCCTATCTTTTAAAGTACGGTAGCTGATTATATTATGATTAAAAAACTTTCATATTTTTAATTATTACGTGGATTAGTATTAGGTCCTGTCACGTAAATATTCAAAGATTTTAATTGCAATAACTTTTCAGTATCAGTAGAAAACATATTTATTTATAATACTGTATTTTTTACGGTTTAATATAACAATAAAACGTGCTCCTGTTACTTAAGTAGTTGAATGAGAACAAGTGAAGTTTTTGTTTACAGTACATTATTATTATTATTTCTCAATTCTCGATGAAAATTATTCTGTTAAAATAATCTTATTTTAAGTAAAATATCATTATTTTTCTTTCAGGTAATAAATGCAATTTATTCTCTTTTATCTTCAATTATTGAAATTGGAAAAACCAATAATAATAAATGCAAAACAATCGTTTTTATGAAGAATGAAACTTTACCAAAATTATTTTAAGTAAATAATGATTCAATTTTGAATATTATTGTAAGGAGTGTTTGTAAGGAAGTTTTGTAATGAATATGAAAAAGAACCGTAGAATCTTTAATTTATGAAATTCGCGCTAACAGATGAATTAAATAATACATTCTCGCCTGATGGTGAGTATGCAAAGGTCAAGATGGCGATAACTCTAAAACATGGTCTAGCAATTGAACTGATGCAGATGGAACATGAAATCTGTGATACAAAAGTGTTGCCACTTTTTTCTGACCCTTTATTGCAAAGATTCCAGAACTTCTTTGTAGTAGTATTGGTTCACAATTTGTTCCACTTTTCACACATTTTCCTCAATTTCTGACATGCTGGGCCATCCAGAACCTTCATCGTCTTTCACATCCTTTCAGCCCTCAAAAAATCTGTACCATTTGAACTCACATACATTACAAAAACATGCATCTCCATATGCTTCACATAGCAAGAGCAAAGATTCAGTGACATTTTTTTTCAATTTCACCAAAAATTTCAAGTTGATATGCTGCTCCTCTTTGAAGCTGGCCATTTTTTCAACATGCACTAACATGTCCATTTGCAGCAGGCAGTCACAACAATATAACAGTGGTAGCAAGTTGAGATTTGCTGTGCTTATTCTAAGTTGTTCAAGGTCATTTACTCACCCATTCACTCACTTTGGCCCATGTGCGATCGTAGCATGCAGGCAATCAGTCTTGTTATTTTCTAGCCACACCATTTATATACTTAATACAATTATAAGTAGATAACTGAAGAATGATATATATAATTAGTTTATTTATTTTTTACTCCTTCCTACCCAGAGGGCATTAAGAGGGCAAATAAAAACATATTAATAAAAGTTTGTAGATGGTTTCAAATTCAGGTTTATTTTTATCTCATAAAAAGTTTAAATTATACATTTTTAATTCTTACATAAATTCATGAAATTTTTTGCAATTACAACTGTTAAATTGAAATAATTAGAAATATGTTATAGGTATATAGTAAACCTTACTAATTTATAAGTATCTGTATTTATTTATTTAGAAAAACTGAAAAAATATTCTTTGTTAAAATTTAGTAATTTAGCATTTTTATAGATTTGTATGCTGTTTTCAGTTAGTATAAATGGCAAATTATTTATTGAAATAAATTTATATTAACAGCTTTAATTTATCAGTTTACTGCTATAAACTATAAATACTTTATCTGAATATGAGTTAATCTTTTCCTTTTTGAATAACAAAATACATTTTTAAATTTGTTACATTGTTAAGTTTAGTAAATTTTTAATGTAATATAAAGCATTAAATATTTGCTTTTCCTTAAAAAAATAAATTTAATCAGCTAATAAATAAACAAAAAACATTTTATTATTTAAATGTTAATTAATATGAAAATTACTTTCCAAAGAACTGATATTTAATGTACAAAACTGAAATTTCAGAAACTTATTGATTGAGAAAATAAGTAAACAATATTCAGTATTAAAAATAAACAAAACTTTAAGAGATCAATAACATATTATTAAATATGTTATTGACTTCTTAAAACTCACAAAAGATAAACTGTACTTTTTATGTAGTTATATAAAATATAATTATATTTTTTTATTTTCTATGTAGATTTCTTTTAAAATACTATAAATTTAATTGTATTTTATTAAGATTTACTTATATTTAATAAAATACTTATATTCTTTTAAATTTGACTTAGTAAAAACTTTTAAAATATACAGGGTGGGAAAAAAAATCCCACCCTGTATATTCTAAAAGTTTTTACTAAATCAAAGACGTTTGTATCAGAATGACGTTTTAAAAATTTGGGGGATTGTAGAGGATGAAATTTTGAACGTTTTGATATCAGGAACCTATAGTCGGAAATGTGATACAGTGGTACCTCAGGATATGAACGCCCCAGCATACAAAATTTTCAGGATACGACATGAAATTCAAACATATTTTTGCTCCACGATACGAACAAAAACTCACCATACGATGTTACATTTGTTCGCAGTGCCATTTTTTATTCACTTCTGTTCATAGGTCTCAGTCCACGTGTTTGCTTTGTCATGGAAGGATCTTGCTCAATAAAGGAAATCTTGAGGTATTATCAGAAAGTGACTGATTTTATTGAAAAGAAACATCCCAAAAAGGTTCACACTAGCTGTATTGCTGCTCAGAGTAATGACATTTGCCTAAGTAATTTTAGAAACATTTTAAAAAGTAGGCAAAGCCAAACCTCTTTGGATAGATATTTTACTAAGTAACCTCTATCCAGTGAAAGTGCTGGTGGAAGTGAAGCAAAAAGCAGTGAATAAAAATTTAAAAAAAATATATATATATATATAAAACAACATTAATTTTTTTCATCTTTTCTAAGTTACTTTTAAGTTATTGTTACATTATGTTATGCAAGTTAAGTTTTAGTATCATTTCCCTTCTCCCTCTCTTCCACCACCAGTTTAAACCTCCACCGTCGTCTATCCTCAAAGGTAAAGTGCAAATAAAATGACATTTGTTTTATCAATTAATATTCTATTATGGTTATTTATACATTTACAACTACAAAATGCATTTTTCAGTGTTTTCCTTACTATAGTTATTTTTTTTTAATGTATTACTTAGCTTTAATTTGAGTGTGTTTTTTGTGCTGGAACGAATTATTTGGTTTTACATGTAATCATATGGGGAAAAATGATTCACCTTACGACATTTTGATGATACGATCTCAGTTTCAGAACAGATTAATTTCGTATCCTGAGGTACCACTGTATAAAGTTTCTACAGCAGTAGGAAGTGCTTGATCGCCCTTCACTTTGGTAGCTACCCTTCCCTCCATTGATGTCATGTTACTGTTCTTGACTTCTTCCTCTGAGGTTATATAAAGTCCCTTGTGTACGCAACACCTGTAGGAACAGTTCATGAGCTTACGGAGTGCATCTTTACAGCATTTAATACCATCAGAAGGGAGTGTGGCATCTTACAGAGAGTCGGACAAAACATGGTTCGTCGTTGCACATTATGTAATGAAGTTGATGGTCGTCACGTTGAACATTTACTCTAAAGTACTGCAGCCACTGATTCCAAGTATAATTTGATTGTACTCTACTGTTTTGTCAATAAAATTTGTCATAAATACTGTATTCTGCTGTTTCATTGTGTATACTGACTGCAAAGTACAAAGTGCTGTAGAAATATTATATCACATTTCTGGCTGTGTGTTCCTTATATCAAAACATTCAAAATTTCATCATCTACAATCCCCCAAATTTTTAAAATTTCATTCTGATACACCCTGTATATTCTTAACAATAACATTAATATTTTAATTTAGTAATTTATATTAATTTAATTCTCTTCTTCCAAATTATTTTTGTCAAATCATAATTTTATCTATTAAATTTTTTATGTAAACTTTAACATATAAAATAAACAGGATGAAAGACAAAGATAATAAACTTTATATTGTGAATTAATACAAAGACAATAATTTATTTCATATATATATATATAACATTATTGAGTTTCAGTATTTATTTTTAATCACTTAAAATATAAATCTATATAATTTAGTTAAAATAGCATTAATAAATTGATATTAAGATTACTAAAAAAATAGTTTTACCTCTCTTCTTTTCGATCTTTCTGACTGATCAGATGCACCTTTCTTTTTGTTTCCTGATGACAATACTGGTTTTTCTCCATTTAAAACTTTTTGGACTGCTTCAGTACTATCTTTCTGTAAAAGTTATATTGATACAGACAATATCAATTTTGAAATTTTCAAAATAAAAATGATTTGACATATTTATAATTAATATATATATAATATATTGAACATAAACACAAACCTTATGTACAATTGCTTTAGCAATAGCCTGAAGTAATTCATTTGTTTTCTCTGCTTCGTGTCCAGATACTATTTTTGTAGGTTTAACAGTAAGATTTTCTCCTGTTACCATAACTATAAATTTTAAAAACAAAAAATGCTTAATTTATTATATTTAAATTATCAGAAACTAAAAGTAAAAACCAATTATTAAATTAGCTTTCCCAGAATTTTTTTATTTCTGTAGATTATTAAAAGTTAAAAAATTAGTTTGTTTTCTTTTTTTTTCATTGATTTTGTTTTAAAGCTAAATTTATTGCCAATACAAGCAAGATATTTAAGGTTATGAAACAAATTTTAAATCTAAAACATGCCTTTTATCATCTTTTCTTTGTAATGAATTAAAAAATATATATATTGATCAGCAAAAATGGAATCAATATGTAAATTAAAATCATCATTTAATTCATACTATTATATTTTATAATAAATTGTTTTTATAATGCAATTCATTGAAATGTTTTATAAATAATAATTTAGAAATATGGAAATCTAGTTAGACAAAGATGTAAATGGAGATTATAAAAAAAAAGTTAAAAATACAGTAAAAAACTTAAAAAGTAATATTTCTGCTGAGATTAGGACAAACTGAGCAATCTACTTATGTCAATGAAAAAAATTTTTCAAAAAAAAATAATTAATGTTTTTATGTACAAAATCTTATATAAATTTTATTTGAAATCTTTCACATAAATTAAGTTTAATATTTTCTTATAATTAAACAAAACTAATATCTAAACAATTTTCTATATTATGTAATTGGCATTCAATATTAATTGTTCATATTAATTGCAATTTAAAGTTCATATTAAAAGTTTATATTAAAAGTTCATTAAAAGTTCATATTAATTGCAATTTAAAATTACTATATAACCCATCCCCCTCATGTAATCCACATTCTCTTTCAAATTTTCTCTTAAACACATATAACTGATGAGATAAACACATGAAAATACTGTAATACTTTTCATTAGTTATATTAAAATAGTAATTAAGACATTATGAATAATACAAAATGTTGCTCATATTATTTTTTGAAATACTGTTCAAATTGCAATTTTGCAAAAATATTTATAAACAGTCCAAAATCAATGAAAAAGAGTTACTTTGTAATAGTTTAGTTTAAACTATTGAAATAAGTGATACNCAGTTTAAACCTCCACCGTCGTCTATCCTCAAAGGTAAAGTGCAAATAAAATGACATTTGTTTTATCAATTAATATTCTATTATGGTTATTTATACATTTACAACTACAAAATGCATTTTTCAGTGTTTTCCTTACTATAGTTATTTTTTTTTAATGTATTACTTAGCTTTAATTTGAGTGTGTTTTTTGTGCTGGAACGAATTATTTGGTTTTACATGTAATCATATGGGGAAAAATGATTCACCTTACGACATTTTGATGATACGATCTCAGTTTCAGAACAGATTAATTTCGTATCCTGAGGTACCACTGTATAAAGTTTCTACAGCAGTAGGAAGTGCTTGATCGCCCTTCACTTTGGTAGCTACCCTTCCCTCCATTGATGTCATGTTACTGTTCTTGACTTCTTCCTCTGAGGTTATATAAAGTCCCTTGTGTACGCAACACCTGTAGGAACAGTTCATGAGCTTACGGAGTGCATCTTTACAGCATTTAATACCATCAGAGGGGAGTGTGGCATCTTACGGAGAGTCGGACAAAACATGGTTCGTCGTTGCACATTATGTAATGAAGTTGATGGTCGTCACGTTGAACATTTACTCTAAAGTACTGCAGCCACTGATTCCAAGTATAATTTGATTGTACTCTACTGTTTTGTCAATAAAATTTGTCATAAATACTGTATTCTGCTGTTTCATTGTGCATACTGACTGCAAAGTACAAAGTGCTGTAGAAATATTATATCACATTTCTGGCTGTGTGTTCCTTATATCAAAACATTCAAAATTTCATCATCTACAATCCCCCAAATTTTTAAAATTTCATTCTGATACACCCTGTATATTCTTAACAATAACATTAATATTTTAATTTAGTAATTTATATTAATTTAATTCTCTTCTTCCAAATTATTTTTGTCAAATCATAATTTTATCTATTAAATTTTTTATGTAAACTTTAACATATAAAATAAACAGGATGAAAGACAAAGATAATAAACTTTATATTGTGAATTAATACAAAGACAATAATTTATTTCATATATATATATATAACATTATTGAGTTTCAGTATTTATTTTTAATCACTTAAAATATAAATCTATATAATTTAGTTAAAATAGCATTAATAAATTGATATTAAGATTACTAAAAAAATAGTTTTACCTCTCTTCTTTTCGATCTTTCTGACTGATCAGATGCACCTTTCTTTTTGTTTCCTGATGACAATACTGGTTTTTCTCCATTTAAAACTTTTTGGACTGCTTCAGTACTATCTTTCTGTAAAAGTTATATTGATACAGACAATATCAATTTTGAAATTTTCAAAATAAAAATGATTTGACATATTTATAATTAATATATATATAATATATTGAACATAAACACAAACCTTATGTACAATTGCTTTAGCAATAGCCTGAAGTAATTCATTTGTTTTCTCTGCTTCGTGTCCAGATACTATTTTTGTAGGTTTAACAGTAAGATTTTCTCCTGTTACCATAACTATAAATTTTAAAAACAAAAAATGCTTAATTTATTATATTTAAATTATCAGAAACTAAAAGTAAAAACCAATTATTAAATTAGCTTTCCCAGAATTTTTTTATTTCTGTAGATTATTAAAAGTTAAAAAATTAGTTTGTTTTCTTTTTTTTTCATTGATTTTGTTTTAAAGCTAAATTTATTGCCAATACAAGCAAGATATTTAAGGTTATGAAACAAATTTTAAATCTAAAACATGCCTTTTATCATCTTTTCTTTGTAATGAATTAAAAAATATATATATTGATCAGCAAAAATGGAATCAATATGTAAATTAAAATCATCATTTAATTCATACTATTATATTTTATAATAAATTGTTTTTATAATGCAATTCATTGAAATGTTTTATAAATAATAATTTAGAAATATGGAAATCTAGTTAGACAAAGATGTAAATGGAGATTATAAAAAAAAAGTTAAAAATACAGTAAAAAACTTAAAAAGTAATATTTCTGCTGAGATTAGGACAAACTGAGCAATCTACTTATGTCAATGAAAAAAATTTTTCAAAAAAAAATAATTAATGTTTTTATGTACAAAATCTTATATAAATTTTATTTGAAATCTTTCACATAAATTAAGTTTAATATTTTCTTATAATTAAACAAAACTAATATCTAAACAATTTTCTATATTATGTAATTGGCATTCAATATTAATTGTTCATATTAATTGCAATTTAAAGTTCATATTAAAAGTTTATATTAAAAGTTCATTAAAAGTTCATATTAATTGCAATTTAAAATTACTATATAACCCATCCCCCTCATGTAATCCACATTCTCTTTCAAATTTTCTCTTAAACACATATAACTGATGAGATAAACACATGAAAATACTGTAATACTTTTCATTAGTTATATTAAAATAGTAATTAAGACATTATGAATAATACAAAATGTTGCTCATATTATTTTTTGAAATACTGTTCAAATTGCAATTTTGCAAAAATATTTATAAACAGTCCAAAATCAATGAAAAAGAGTTACTTTGTAATAGTTTAGTTTAAACTATTGAAATAAGTGATACTAAAATTATGAAATTTAATTATTTTAAATAGTAAAAATTTACTTACTAGTAACATCAATTGCTTTCTGTAAAAATGCAATCTTCTTTTCTTTTTCCTATAATATTAAAATTTGTTATTTTTCTCATACATCCTATTTTATTTTTTTTAAGTATTAAAAAAATTTCTTGTGCAGAGTAAAACGATGTCAAATCTGAAGTATTTTGCTTAAAAATAAACATTTTTTAATTAAAAATTTAGAATAAAGAAAGTTTGTACTTAAAGTTTGTAAAGATTTTTTAAAATATATAAATAATAACAACTCAAAGCCCAAGAAATATACAATAAATCACCAAACAATATACTAATCATTTAATTAGCCATATTATAGCCCGATATTAAGGCGTTCGTTTGATGATTTATTTAAAATATATTATTTGCATTTAAAAATTTATGTATTAAGGTAAAAAAAAACTTTATTTTATATATATATAAAATAAAGTTTTTTTTACCTTAATACATATATATATATATATAATATTATGT